CATAGGCCGAAATCACTAAACAAAATTAAACAAATCAGAAAGTGGAAAAAAGGAACTAAGTGTAGGTGCTTGGGCCTCTGCAATATTTGCTGTACATACACAACCTTAAATATTTGGGTCTGAAAGCAAAGTATTTTGTATTTGTTGATAACACTGTCTTGGTTCTGTCCTCAAAATGTTTAAAAGAACTAGAAAAATTAGCAAATCATGAGTTAAATCTTTATCATTCATGGCTGTGCTACAATAAGTTATCTGTAAAGACTGTTAATAAAAACAAGACTGTATATAGGATTATTAAACAAAAAAACAAGCAAAGTGGTGATATAAACTTGTTTCTTTATAATGTAAAACTCAAAGAAGTACAAACATATAAATATTTGGATCTGAACATAACAAATAATCTGGATTGGAGCCTACATGTAACTGAGGTTATAAAAAAAGTTGTTCCGATCGTTGGTGCAAAAAAAAGGTGTACAGATAGTTTAAATAGAAAATCTAGACTTTTATTTTATAATAGCTTTATTCTGCCTCATATCAGATACCTAATTCCATGTTGGGGAAATTTACCTACCTATGTTTAAACAAACTACAAAGGACACAAAATAAAACAATAAAAACACAAAAAATATACTTCTAAAAACCAATTCAAATGTTGAGCAAGTGAAACAGCTACATGACCATAATATCCAAGGTGCAAGTGACCAGAACAAATTATTCACGAACCTTACACAAAGATCTCCATTTTATAGCAGTATACAAACCTATAACACTATACCCTCGACTATAACAAAGACAGCTGTGGAAATGAGGACAATGAAACAATTTACTCAAAACTAGAAATTATATTTTCAGTGTAAATGAATATACACACATCAAAATAGTCTAGGGAACAAGAAGCAACTGAATACATTTATGAATTGAACAAAATATACTTTTAATGGATTTTTACACTTTTTTAAAGCTTGCTAAAAACGCTTGTATGATAAATTTGATAAGATTTGTTCAACAAATACCCACATGTTATCTTTAAAAAAAAAACTTATTCTATCTCAAAATTAAAAGACAAATATTTCTTGTTCCCTAGACTATTTTGTTGAGTGTATAATTAACACATTCAATGACACCCTCGGCATTTGTAGTCATAGCCACTGTGTCGAAAACGGCTCCAAAAATATTGATGTGTGCTCCGAACGACATCTTGATAAGCTGCAATGTATTAACCTGTGTCTCGGGTGGTTCCGGGGACGTTAATTATACTATCCATTCTATATATAAGTATATATATTTTTGGGTTTCCAATATGGCACCCTAACACTAAATATACACTAAATCGACAGTATACAACGCTAGCTCCGTCAGGAGCTTAGTAGACCAGGACCAAAAAAAGGAAACGCGTCATATAACGTCAGCGCTCGCATTCGCATTATGACGTTGGCGGGAAATGCCGCTAATGCCAGTTAAAAATATGTCAACAAAATCAGGCGTCATTGAATGTGTTAAGCTGAAAACTGTAATTCATTACCACACTTTTTTGTACTTATTATTATAAAAGGATTGTATATTGAGGCTCTGGTACCAGTGATTCTCCCTGTTTTAGAATCAGTTATAAATAAAAAAAATAAAAAATAATGCTATCTTCTATAACACTGACTATTGTTTAGGGTCTCCAATAATTCTCAGGAGACACGTCAATTGCATGTTTGAAAAAAAAAAAAATAAGTAACCATGACAAAAAAAAGATACGATGTTGAGCCTAATGACATTTATTGCGGAAAGTTATTCAAAGAACGACCCTTTTATCCAAGCGGGTACACCAACGCTGAATGAGAAAAATAAAAATTTCGTGATAAAAGATGAATAGCAGTGCTGACCAGCATCATAGCATTTCGAAAAATAACAATCTTCAAGTTATTAGCACTTCTTACCAAACCAAAAAATGCTTTTGGTGTTACGCCACTGGAATACAGCCCTGTATTAAGAGTAGTAGCTTGGATTTGTTCATTTTTTCTGCATACTGGAGGCAATAACGTCCAATGAGTGCTTCAATCTTTTCTCGGGCGCATGGAATTCCACTTATGCGGCAGTATGAGAACAAATACCCATTCTCAAGAAGAGAAAGTCCATTCTTTAGGGTTAAATGTAAACCTTTTTTAAACATTCGATAATTTGAGTTATAGCCAACTTTTGGAAAATTTGAAAAATTACTTTTTTTAGGAAAGTCATCATAAAAATGCATAGAAAAATATTCAAGATCAAAAATCGAGTATTTGACAAACATAGCTGCAAACTTTGCTTAAAAAACATGACTTCCTTTGCTTACCCTGTATAAGTGGATAAATAGAAGAAATACCCAAATCGGTCAAACCCTCTACATGTTCTCAAAGAATCTACTGAATACTTCAACTCGATATCTCTTTCCGTTCTGAAAATACCCGAGGTTTGAATTTGGGTAAAATTTTCCATCCACTGTTCATCAGTTTAGTTTAACTACTAGTTATAATTGTCACTTGGAACTGTCAGTTAGGTATAATTGTTACTTAGAACTAACCGAGGAACTAACAATTACATATAATTATTGTCACTTAGAACTGACAATTAGGTATAACTCTCAGTATAACTATTACTTAAAACTAATTGTCAGTGGCCAGTGCTCTGCTAAGTAATAATTATACCTAATTGTTAGTTCTAAGTAACAGTTATACCTGATTGTCAATTCTTAGTAACAATTACACCACACCTAATTGTCAGTGTCAATTCCAAGTTCCAACAGACAATTATAGATGACTAGCTGACCCAGCCACGCGTTGCTGTGACTTCTAGTCAGTGTATCCGATACTTTATTTTCAAATACTTGGATACTCTGGATACTTTCTCACACTCCACTATCCACAGAGTGAATCCGCAAGAATAAGGTCTAGCGAGTGGCGGTAAAATTTTAAAATCCTTCAAAATATACAGAAATTTGTAATCATGCAGCGTGCAGATTTGTAATTCGTACGAAATCTGTGCGCTATGCTACATTTACATAGAGTTTGTGACTGTTGTCTGTGGGATTCCCCGCTAGTTATGCGTAATTCCCAATCCCAATTTTCAACAATCCCGACACACAGGTTCCAAAGTATCCGATAAATTTAGTTCAAGTATCCATTTGATACTGATACTTCTAAGTATCCAACTTGCACATCACTACTGAAAATGTTTCAATCGATCTGAAACCCTACGGGATTGAGAGTAGAATCTTACGCCCTAATTCAAATGTGATTGGTAAGGAGTTTTGGAAAGTTAAAATTAAACACAAACCTAATATAATTGATAACATAGAGATCTGTGACGTCACCGCCCAGACAGGGAGCGCTCTTGGAGCAGTAAAGCCGAAAATGCTATAAGATAATAGATGTTACATCGGTTGAATGCGAAAATTTGATTTCTTATATTTTTATGAAAAAATATACAGTTACGTCGGTTGAATGCGCAAACTTAAATAAATGTGGCAACGTTGTTTCATGTTGTCAAAAAAAAATTGGGTTATGTATGTAGTGAGAAGCAAAATAAAATTAAAAATTTTTGGGGTGGACCACCCTTATCACTTGAGGGTATAAAAAATAGATTACGACCGACTCTCAGACCTACCGAAAATACATATGAAATTTCATGAAAATCGGTGAAGCCGTTTTGGAGGAGTATTGTTCCAAACACTGTGACACGAGAATTTTATATATTAGATTACAAAAAATGTGATAAATGAAGAACCGCTCGACCGATTTTGTGCAAACTTCACATAAACCATCTAATAAATAGTCCGAACAAAGTCTAAACATTTGGTTTGGCTAGGTGAGCCCGTTCTTGAGTTATAAAATTACAACGAAAAGTGGCATTAATTTTTATATATACAGGGTGTCCCACAGTGGATGGCGTATTAGACGTTTATAGAGAACTGAAAAGCCGATCATTTTGAAAATTTGGCAACCGGGATAATTGACCATAATCTACACTTTAAAAATATTTTTGTTTATGCGGTGTTGCCGCTTCTACTCTAAACCAGTGGCAACATCGCTATTTTAAATAGAACATCCTGTATATGATTGCATATTTGGATTCTACGTAAAATTCTGAACAGATTTCATGTGATATACCCTATACCTAAGTTCAACTATTTTGGAAATATTGACAGTTGAAAATTGACTTTTTGCTACTTTGACAGGCTGTAAAACCTAAACGGTTAATTTTAGAGGAAAACCGATTTTACATTCCTGTCTTAGATTTTTATAAACTATCATTTGACACCAACTTTGAATTTAATCCATGATTAAAAATTCCAATTAAATTTCATCTCCGGTTAAATTCAAAGTTGGTGTCAAATGATAGTTTATCCAAATCTAATATAGGAATGTAAAATCGGTTTTCCTTTAAAATTAACCGTTTAGGTTTTACAGCCTGTCAAAATTGCAAAAAGTCAATTTTCAACTGTCAATATTTCCAAAACAGTTGAACTTGGGTATATGATATATCACATGAAATCTGTTCAGAATTTTACGTAGAATCCAAAAATGCAATCATATACAGGGTGTTCTATTTAAAATAGTAATGTTGCCACTGGTTTAGAGTAGAAGCGGCAACACCGCATAAACAAAAATATTTTTAAAGTGTAGATTATGGTCGTTTATCTCGATTGCCAAATATTCAGAATGATCGGCTTTTTAGTTCTCCATAAATGTCTAATACGCCATCCACCGTGGGACACCCTGTATAGATTTAAAAAAAAAAAAATGAGATGTTCGTTCGGCGCTTTCGTAACAGCCACTATGACGGCCGAAACAGGGTTGGTAGGTAAATCGTAGGTTTTTTCCAACCCTGGGCTAAAACTACATAGGTATTTTTCTAGGATTTGGAGGATGTTTTCATTTTCTTTAGACATCGCGACCGGTGATGATGATAAATTTATATTATTGTGTCTCCTATACAATATTAATTACAATTTTTTTTGAAATATATCAACGTACCATCTTGTAGACATCTTTGTGTTAAAATCTCAAAGCAAAAATAACACAACTACAGGCCTTTTCCCTTTTCTTTTCGAGTGGAAATGTTTATTTTTAAATTTTTGAAAAATGAAAAAACCTAACCTAACCTCAATCTTCTTGACAGGTCACCAGTGCAAGCTAAACTTTTTTTTGTACAAATTTACGAGTCCTACCATTTTTTTGTTCAACTCCCTATAGTGATTCAAAATTTTAGTAATGTAATGGGTGGTTGGTTAATAATTGTTAGTTATTGCTATTGGTTTGAAATTACATCGCATTAACTCTAGAGGTAATTAGAGTAACTTTAGTTCCGGTCGGCTATTCAATACGGAGTAGATTCGGAGCAGGCTCTAAAGACGTGTTCAGAGTTATCAGAGTGTTGTAGTAGACCCACAGTTTGACCCGCACGACCCGGATCTTTTTGGAGGACCTTATTATTATTTTTCGCGGTTATTACTGTGTTTAACAAGGATGTATCTGAATCAGTGTATTATGTAACAGTATTATCCAAGAAGTCATACTCCCTGTCTTCAACGAACATATTAACCTTGCGTTCGGTATTTTGCTCGAAGAGCCGAGCGTGCAGAGCAGAGCTGTAATCACGTGACCAGCGACCACACAGGGCAGTTAAACGCTGTATCAGAGGGCTCCAAATTTCAATAAACGAACGTGAATGAGCCTGCACCGAGTACACTTTTTAAATAAACGAACGGTAAATTTATGCTCGGAGAACTCAGATCAAAATACCGAACGCACGGATAGCAGTTAGTTGTTACTTTGTTCCAATTGTTCCTGGCTTTGTTCACACTGAAAATAATCTAGTCCGACTGGGTCATTCGATTCAAAGTGATAAAAATCGATTACCGTATATGGTTTGAAAGCGCCTAATCGTGATTTTCTTTATCAGTTTGAACCTTAGATTAGCATGAAACAGGAGAATAAAGGTTGATGCACGAGGGGGCAGGGAATAAGTAAAATCTGTTTTTTTTTTTTAAAGATAAAAGTCAAAATGACATTCTGTTGGCAATACAATGTGAAATTGTCAATTCTTTCGATTTTTTTATGTAGAAAAGGCTTGTGTTGCCAACATAGTTACTAAATTTTTGACTTGGGGAATTATCTTTGAAGAACAAACAGACTTTAGTTCAAGTCAAGTGTATGACACTCGAAGCACTGGAACGCTTAAAGTAATTATGGAGCACTCGTGAGCTGCTCAAGAGTATATTCTCAAAAGGGTCACTAGAAAGCACCTTAGGATAGTCAAAGTCAGCTGATGCCGTATCAGCAGCAAAAAAAAATTAAATAAATAAACATAATATAAACTTTTTTTTATTAATTTTACATTTTTTAAGTTAAGCAATAATTATTATTGAAAAATTCGAAATAAAATAAAAATGAAAAAGCTGACGGGTTCGTTTCGCTACACCCAGTGGGACCCTTGGCTGATCCTGTCTCAAATTGTATCAATACAGTGCATTTTATACTTTACTTTGGGAATTTTGTTGGTAATTTTGGGGGCCCTCGTCGGCGATACCAGGACTTTAGATCATATATTTGAATATCACGTAAGAACACTGACAACTATTTATTCACAGCTAATATAGATATTTTAAATGTTATTTAGGAAATTCAAGTTAGAGATATAGGAGGCAGAATAGTGATTTCGGCATTCGTTATCAATGCCCTAATCGGTTCGATTGTAATGTGGTACATCGTGGAACGTACCAAGCAATGCATGGACTTTAGTTGTACTTGGCATGTCATCCATTTGGTGGTTTGCTGGTACTACAACAGCCAGTTTCCAACAACATTTTCCTGGTGGATTTTAAATGTTGCTTGCGCGACCATCATGTGCGTTTGTGCCGAGTTTTTTTGTTTGAGGACAGAACTTGCCGCGATTCCTTTAAGTTTAGGCCCGAGAACCGACTTGTAAATAATAATTGGTTGTGTTTATATTTTTTAATGTTTATTTATTATACAGTTGTAATATATATTTTTATAATACTAGCTACGCAAGGGTTTACTTCTTTTTTAAATATTTCAAATAATTTGAAGAGTCGAAAGAGTCTTCCAGATCATCTTCAATTACCACCTTCTTTTTGGGTTTTCGCTGTTCTAGTCTGGCTTTTCTTTGTGCTTCAGTTAAAGTCCAAATGTTCAAAGGGAGCTAAAAAAGTGAGGGAGTTAAAATAATGATTTTTTGAATTAAAAGATACCAAAGATTCTTTACCTTGATAATTTTTCTTGGCTCGGGATATCGAATGGTAAAAGTGGAACCATCAGGCTGGACCATTAATGTAGGGTAAGTTCTGGCGTAGGTTAGCCTGTGCGGTCTCGTGATTGAGGCAGCAAACGAGCTCAACGTCCTCGTTTGGATTTTAATTATATTATAATTCATTTTGTTTAGGAATTTGTTTATAAATTTTTTTTTTTTTGGATAAATGTGGGGTTATGTTGACTTGGTTTTTTTCACCACTCTTCTTCCTTCTTCTAATCAATCCAACAAGGCACTCTTAAAGCAAGGATCACTTAAATACTCCAAATACACTCCGATCATTCGGCTTTACCCTTTAAGAGTGAATAGAGTAACTAGGTTCACGTTCGGTTTAGCGAGGTCGAATAAATGGAGCTCACTCCAAAAGTTAGGAAACGATATTTTTAGAGTAAGTGGAGTAACAAACTATCAAAGTTGCAACAAAATGTTTCGTTGTTGCTCAATGTTGAGGATAAAGTTAGTTAATTTTGTTGACAAATTACTGTCTTTATTTTGCGTTTTTTATTGCTTGAACGGTAGCTTGAAATTCAAACCGGAAAAATTGAAAATCAGCTATTTAAAATGTATTGCTCCGGATTTTTCGGGTGTACTCTACGCTTCTTCTACTCCAAAAAACTGCTCTGACTCCATTTCAACTCCGTGCTTTAAATAACCGAACCCTATAACTTTCAATTTTTTTCTATTCCAAACGCTGGGCTCCTAAATTCTTGATTTCTTTTTTTAAACGAAAACATATACAAAATTCATTTTGAAAGAAGAAGAGTCAGGAGTAAAGGTTCTCTGAAGTAATTCTGAGGTTTTTTAATTGTTTTGAAGCCTGCTGGAAATTGTTTTGGAACGTTCTAAATGGCCTATTGAAGGGTTCTAACCATGTTCTAACTTGACTTGAAGAGTTCTGGAGCATTTTAGAAGTTTTTCCGTAATTTCTAAATTGTTGTGACAGATTTTTAAGTATTTTAGAGCCCTATTGAAGCTCCAAAGTGTAAATTGGTTCAAAAGAGTTCTAAAAGATTCGAAAATTCTGATTAGGATTTGAATACTTATTAAAGGTTTTGGTTTAAAGTTCTAGTTCTACAGCAATTGAAATTCGCTCTTGGAACGCTTTCTGAAAGGCGTTTTGTTACTTTTAACCTGTATCCTAATCCTAAGATTCTGGCGGTTTTCAAATGCTTATGGAGATTATACAGGGTGTATCATTTAAAATACAACAGGCTTAAATATCTGATGCCACGTCTATTTTTAAAAAGATCGCTTGTAAATTTATTTTTTTTTTTTTTAAAGATAAAAGTCAGAATGACATTATGTTGGCAATACAATGTAAAATTGTCAAGCTTTCAATTTTTTTATGTAGAAAAGGCTTGTGTTGCCAACATAGTTACTAAATTTTTGACTTGGGGAATTATCTTTAAAAAAAAAACAGACTTTACACGTAATTTGATTTTCAAAGGGGGAAGTTTTATGCAACCATTTTTAGCACTTCCACTTTAAAGCCTAGACTCATAACTGCGAAATTCGCATTTTTTTGACATTGCGTTGACAATTTGACGTTTTATGCGTGTATCAAACGTCAAATTGTCGAAGCAATGTCAAAAAAATGCGAATTTCGCAGTTATGAGTACTAGGCTTTACTCAGGTGGGGTGGGACCCTTACTTTACAGTGACTAAATAAACCTTTATAAACAGTGGCGAAAATAGTGTAACAAACCGGCCTAAAAGTCCTTTTTTTTTTTGCTTCGTGATACAATTGACGTTTTCAATTAAAAGAGCCCACATAACAAAATTGCATCCTTAGAATGTAATAAGATTAAGAATGTTCTTTTTTTAGGAGGAATGTGCCTAGAATGTTGCCAAAACCATTCCTGAGAATGTTCTGAGAAAAGATTGTAGAAATAGAAATACTGTTTGCAATAGCCAAGAACTTCCTGGGAAATCCATTGGGATATTCCTAGAATGTACCTATGAGATTCTCAGTACATGCTGAAAAGAATATTCCTGTTTGAATCTAAAAATATGCTTGAAATGTATATTCTCACATTCAAAGAATGTTTCTATGACATTATAGTTATGTTCTAAAAAGAATATTATACCAATATATGCTTGAAATATTCATAGAATATACCTACTTGGAATGTTAATTTTCGCTTCCGAATAATGCTCCTTCCAGTCCTCTAAGAGGATTCACTGCCTTTAATATAAGAGGACTCCTCTTATATTAAAGGCAGTGAAAGAGTTGTTGAAAAACTTCTCTGGAAAACACAAGTGTTTAACCAAAGCTACGGTTTCGAGCTTGTTAAGCTCCCGACGCGGTGCGGTAAGCACGCCAACCGAGAGAAACAGTTTCCAAGGTGATTCGAACGCTAGGCAAGATGTAGATCTTTAATAGCGCGTGGCTCCCTCTCTTGGAAGTCCTACAAAGGAAAAGAAAAAGAATATTCCTATAATATTTTTAGTAGGTTCTAAATAGGCCATTATTGTTGAATTGTTCAATTAAGATTTTTGAGTAGGTATTTTAGATAATTAGGTGAACAATATGAAAATATTCTTATCATGGTTACCTACCTACATAAACTTCTCAGCACAACTTAATTGGTAGGTATATTCTTAATACTTGATAGAGATATTAGCCGAAAGAGAATTTTTCAGGGTACATTATAATAATGTTTGTATGACAATATTCAAAGAATGTTATATAAAGTAGGTTCTTCACAATCTTTCAGGTAAGTGCATAGAAGCAACATTCCTAGTACATAAATTTCTAAAAGAATATTCCAAAAAGCACTTTGAGATAATATTCTGAGAATACGAATGTTTTTTCACTGTTATGTGGGAGATAGACGATAAGTATGAAAACATTCATTTTCCCGCCAGCATTTGCTTGCTTGTCAATATCAATGTGTAATAGATGTTTAGCAATCCCCTTGTTTTATTCTAATCGATGACTTCACCGATGAGTTAGCTATCTTTGTTTAGTGAATAGAAAATGACAATGGCTAACATAGAATGATGGATCCATCGCAGTGGCGTATCTAGCCTGAGGCCTTGGGAGGGGCAGACCAGATGTCCGCCGGAGGCGGAAATTTTTTTGAGGTGCCACGCCCAAAAGTCGTTAAAATCACACATTTTGATGGCATATTCGCGCGGTTCTAATACTTTCATAGAACAAAAAATATATTTTTATCGAAAAATAAGGTAGGTAGGTTCCGTATTATTAGCCTGCAAACCGCCACTGAAAAAATGTTTGGGCTGCTCATTGAAACGATAAGAGGTTGAAAACTGAAATTACCCATTTATTTTTCTCAGAAATCAACTTTTAGGAAACAAGTAACATATAACACATAACACAAAACCAAACTAAAGTTAAATTCGTAGGTGTGTTATACATACCCTGCATAAAAATAGTTATTAGAAGATTTGCATAGCATCCAGAGGAGCAGCTGTACCTTAATCTTCCTGAATGTTTCCAGATGCTAAAACTGGTAATTTTCTCTCTTAGTTCAATGTGTTGTGTTTTCATTTTTTTTTTTTTTCAGGATCAGCTTGTTTTTTTTTTGCAACAGTGGTTGTGCTAGCGAGGTTCACTTTTCAAATTAGTTTTACAAAGCAACAAGTACAGCATCTTCCCAAAATATCCTGTCCATTTTTGATGCATTATCATAGATCTTGCTTTGTCCATTGGTGATGTCTGATTCATTCTTTCCGCAACACCATTAAGTTGGGAAGTATATAGAGGAGTATAACTTACTGTCCAACTTTTATAAATCTGATAGTTTAAAGGAATGTAAGTTGGTGGCTCCTCACGCCAATGGTGACCTGACCTCACACCTGTTTTTGCTGGATTTTTCCTCTCCCCGCTCTTGATACACAAAGTGGCAAATTAAAAAAGCTGAACATTACCTGCATGCCTTTCTTGGGTAAAAAAAGAGTAATTAAATGAGAAAACTGAGTGCGCAAAGAGTTTCCGTGCGCAAAGTTCAACTTTGTGCACGCAAATGAGTGTGCAAAGTAGAAACTTTGCGCACACGAGGAGAAAAAAATAGTTTTCAGTTTCCACACGAAAAAAAGTATTGTCAACAAACCACTGTCATACCACTGTCAACGGCTGTCAACCATTGTTTTAATGCTCTTTTGGCGTCTGACGCCAAAGAGAGGGGCTTTCAAATTGAAAAGGTCTATTATTGGCTTTTATACCAGTTAGATTAAATTGCCAAATTTCTGACCGTACCAAGTTCTGGCCAAGAGCCAAGAGTTATTTATCAGTCGGTTTCAAAAAGAGTGTGATAATGTCTATGTCTTAATTAAAACACGACTCTTGACTTCTGGTTCCTTAGAAAAAGTCGCCTGTTTTGAAACTGATAAACTAAAAGCGTCACCAATTTCGCTAAATAAAAGATGCCTCACGTCGCCCCGGATTCATTCAGTTCTGGGTCACAGTTTCTGGTGCTTACAGTGCGATTCCTCTCAAAACAGTTAGAACCCAACTACGTACAGCTCGGGTAGCAAGAGCCCGGACTAATAAGGGCAACCGAATCCATTTACATAAAATTAACCTGTTGCGATTTACCAAGAATTGCAATGGGACTTTAATCATAGTCCCTGGTGGCACGCTACTGCAATACGAGAAAAGGCCTTTATTAGCCCTAAAACAAAGTCTTCCTTACTCGCCCGTCATATCCAGGTGGCGGCGGTAACAATAATAGAGGTCCCGCCGCCCCTTTGTGCCCGACCTCTTGATGCTAATTTTAAATATGAATATATAGGATTTAAATGGACATCTATTATAAAAAAATTGAAAACAACGTATTTGGTGATTATTATTAGGTACATCAAATATATACGTTGCTTTCAATGTTTTATGATGAATGTCCATTTAAATCCTATGTATTCACATTTAAGATTGGCAAGAGGTAGAGCACAAAATGGCGGCATTTCCCATATAAATATATAGGATTTTAAGGAACCAATAAAAAATAAGACAGCAATTTTCGCCACTGTGGTTTATTAGAGTCACTGTAAGTTATCACCCTTATCTACTATTTCAAATGGAACAAGGGGTTGAGTGATTCCTCTTTTGAAAGAGCGTTCAATTCTCTTTCATTTGATGTCATTTGAAAGAAAATTGAACACTCTTTGGAAACAGGAATCACTCGACCCCTGCTTGTTCCATTTGGAATAATAAGGGTTGGTCCCACCCTCCCCTAGAGGGCCAGAGTGTGAGTGCTGAAAATGGTTCGGTTCTAAAGACTTCTCCTTTTGAAAATCAAACTAAAATATGTTTTTTTTTTAAAGATAATTCCCCAAGTCAAAAATTTAGTAACTATGTTGGCAACACAAGCCTTTTCTACATGAAAAATTTGATAGCATTGACAATTTTACATTGTATTGCCAACCTAATGTCAGTTTGACTTTTATCTTTAAAAAAAAAACGCACTTTACGTGTACCAGCGATTTATAAAAAAATATAAACGTGACATCAGATATTTAGCCTGCTTCGTTTTAAATGGTATACCCTGTAGAGTGTGGAAGCGTCCTAAAATTTGTTTCAAACTTCCGAATTGTTCTAAAAAGTTTTTGTAAATCGATTTTTGAATATTTTGGAGCATTCTAAAATGGTTCTCAAGTTTCCAAATTGTTCTGGGGTCGTATTTTCGAATATTCTCGCATACGAAATTTGATACGATTTCGAATGCTCCCCATTTAATTTACATTGCTGTCAGTGAAATTTCGTTTATGAAATGTATACTCGAATAAATTCGAAAATACGACCCAAGCCTTACAGAATGCCTTTGGAAATTCTGAAGTTTGAGTGTTTTGAACTTTCCAAAAGGCCTATTAAAGTCTTAAAGTGTTCTGTAGCATTTTTATTGGTTTTCATTTACTTCGCTAAATTGAATGAGAAACGAATTCTGTGGGAAGTATTTGTGGACATCCTAAAACCGTCCCTAAGATGTCCACAAACGACATTAGACGTCTGCTTACGACTTCAAGGCATTTTAAAGACATCTTAAAGACTTCGTATGTTACAAAAACCAACAAATTTCAAACGGCGTCTGCCTGAAAACACTATGACATTTTTCCAAGACATTCTAAAAACATCTTTAACAAGATGTGTTAAAGACTTCTCTGAATCTCTTTCCAATACATAAACCATTGTTTACTCTAGGCCCGGTTGTACCATATAGTCTGGCTCAGTTGTCTTTAAGATGTGAATATACGATATCTTATAGACGTCTTCTAGACGTTTTTTTTTTTTTGATCTTCAGACGTTCAGACGCAATGCAGACTTAAAAAAGACATCTGCTAGACTTTGTGTACTGTCTGGATGTGCAGCTTCAAACTTTATAACTCTGATTTTGTGTCGAAGTCAGTAAGCAACAGACATTTTTAATATTTGTTATCCAGGTTCCAATCCTATTTGAAAAATTTTAATTAAATCCCACAAAAATTCTCTCAAAAAAAAATGGAATTTTAAATCCTCTACTGATCACTGATGGATAGTTTCGATGCAACGTCAATATTTTCGTAGCCACAAAGCTTGAAATTCAGAAAATCAATGTGAGCGAGTGGAAGAGAATCCTACTTTTATTTTCAGAAATATTTTTGAGAAATTCATAACTAAATGTTTTCAAAAGTTGTATTTAGGAGTTACGCATGTAATCTCTACTCAATTTTTCCAATTATTATGCTCGATTATGTCCTCGATTTGTTCACAATTTGAGCGCTCACGATGGGCATTTTTTAATGGAAAATTCAACATAAAAGCACATTCTGCCTCATAACTTTGGTAATTTTATTCCGATCTGAATGCAATTAGGCTTAAATTGAAGTCCATTTAATTCTCTACGAATCATATAAATATTCTATGATAAATAATTGACCATAGGTGTGTTTTGCTCTCTTACCCGCAATTAGGACTCACATCAAACTTGTCGCCACCTAGAAACAAAATAAATTTACCGCTCGCCAACACAACATTCTTAAAGTTCCAAACGGCTGCGCTGCGGCACCACCTGTGAACATTTTTCACAAAACTGCTGGGACAATATCATACAATGCATATCATAGATGCTTTCCATAACCATTTGACTTACGTGAGTAATAAATATGAGCTTCTTTTCGATAATGTCTCTAAAGTCATCTACCTTATCCAGAAGAGAATCGCCTACAAAATACTCGGCAACATCAATATTTACCTGCAAATGAGTTAATGTAGTGGCCAATTTAATTTGCTAGATATAATATAATCATCAAAAAAAATATTAAATAGAAGAGGCTCAATATTGGATCTTTAGGAGTTATCAAATAACAAACACACTGTTGCTAAAATAGTAGGTATATTTTCCATAAAAAAAATTTGTCACACCATGTAAGGCTCCAGAGTCGAATAAACAAAATCTAAAATTTCAAAAAGTCTTCGAAATCATTCTCCCTGTTCCCATGAGGATCCATCGGAAAAATCAGCATGTCATCGATAAAAGTCGGGACCAATCTGCGCTCCTCCACTACCATCCGCAAATTTGGATTCATTTCGACAATGTCCTGAAAATTATCCGAAGACACAATAATGCCCCCATTGGCTGCAGCCGTTTGTACAATGTACCAATCATCGTAAGGACTTCTTTGTTGGTTTTTAATGAACAACGTTGGCGTAATGATGACGAGTTTTTTTTTTACTAATTCATTAAGCAGTTTTTGATCACTACTTTCAGCATTTTTCAAGCGATACTTGGGGATGAAGGCTCTGACATCGTGGCCTCTGTTTAGGAAATAATCTATACAGATTTTTAGGCCTCTAGCTGAAAACTGTTCATGATGGCCATGACTGAAGGCGACGTTGCTGCCGTCGATGTATATGGGTCTCAAGCCTGTGCAATTTTTATTGGCGGGGCAATAAAAATTCTTGCCGAATTGTGCTAAATAATCCAGTTGTTTCTTGTTCTCTTTGGTGATTTTTTTGTCTTCGATTGTGGGGATTTCTTTTACCTTTTTTCTCGATGCATTTCCTCTAGGATGGGATTTTGTTTGTACCACTGTGGGTTTCGCGATTTTTTTAGCTTCTGTATTTTTTCCGCTAGAGCTATTTATTCGACGTCGTTTGTTGCTCGAGGGAATTTGATCTTCTTCGGAATCTCTAGACAAACGCCTCTTTCTACTACCGCAAGCAAAGTCCGATTTTCTTGATTGATTGGTCGACGATGAATCTATAAAAACGAATTTGGAATTAATTTATTTCTATGACTTATCTAATGCCGTATACTTGAAGAAGTCTAACTCAATAGCAGTCGTTAAAATATGAAAATAAGATTACCTATTGTTATACTTAAATTAAATTCGCCCTTAAAAATCGAAAACTTTAAAAAGTAAAGGAGTCGTGAAAGAAAAAAAAAAAAAAAATTAAAACGGGTAAACCACATTATGTGCGTGGTCTAACTAATCAGTTGGTCGATTTATTTTATTAGAATAATTTAGTGAAGTTAAGGAAAAATTGTAGTAGGTACACGTAGAAAAATTGAGACTTAGTAAGCATTAAACCATTTATTCAAACGACTATGATGGAAAGTGGATTGATTATGGAACATTATTGAAAATTTGATTGGACTTTTGAGTGAAACGACTTTAATCGCTATCTATAAAACCGCTCGCCATTTACAATACTTATACCTAATTAATAGAATACTTGGGCGGACAGCTACAATCTTTGTTGACCTGCTGCTAAATCTCTTCCAAAAGGTATAACTGAATACTGAATGATGTATGAAGTTCAAGTCTTTACAGAGGATTACCTGGATATCGACAGGATGATTGATCAGTTTTTAGAGAAATAATGAGAGCAAACATTTAGTTGAGAGTTTTTGTTCCTTCAAAATGTTCTATTCAATCTGAATCTTGTCTCATATAGTCAACATCCTTGTAGGTGATTGCTTATGGTTGTGAAAGGATAAATTTACAGAAGGTGTTCCAATGTGATTTTTAGCTAGGATCATGCCACAATACTAAGAAAACTCCAAATATTAACACAAACATGATGTACAAATCCTCACATACGGCTTGCTTTTCGAATAGAAATTTTCGTTATAAACATGAAAAAATTGACTCTGGTATTTGAATACCTTCTTACATAGAGCTTTTTTTTTCGATAAATTTATATAAGTTGACCATTAATGTTTATAAATGTTTGTAGGTACCTGTGTTGTCCGAAATCACAATGGTTGTAACTTTCTCCTTGGGCTGGTCGTTCTTACCCATGTCCTCCATTTTTGGCTAATGTGACGATTTCACGCAGGTTTTTGTTGAAAAACTAATAAAATACATTTAAAAAATAAATTGCAATTTGACAATTTGTCACGAACAACAAAAAAATACTGGTACCAGTAACTTCTTTCTGCCCAATTTTTATTTTTACACAGAATACATAGGTACTGATTAAAATCTTCGTTTCTACTGAAGTCTGAAAATTTAAAGCCTATAGTTTTGTATTCAATAATCATTCTAAATGCTACAGAGATTGTAACGCTCTTTTGTCGAAACAAAAGAATGCTCATAATAGTGCTCGACTATGCTCAGTGGTTGTTTAGCTTGGGATGGTCCTTGGTGTTGGTACAGTAGAGAGAGGGCGCCACTAGTTTGTATAAATTATTTTGATTATAAAAGAATAGCCAAACTTGACACTATTCGAATAATTAGCTATTATTTAAAAAGATAAATTCAAAAATCTGAAAAGGAAAAAAAAAATCCAATACCTATCTGACATTTAACCCCTTCAATAAAAACACAAGTATTGGAATTCGAAAAACTATAATTTATTAATGTCGAACTTGTTGTTCATTAACAATTTGTTGACAGTATGGCGAACTTGTTGTTCAATTGTTCGAAGGAGAATATTGTTCAGTATCCAATTTCAAGGATATCGGGGAGAGCTCTACCGTCTTACCTGTAATTAAAATTCAAAATATGTAAACATAAAACTTAACTTTGACTACCTAAAGATTTTACATTGGTTTACCTTGTAAAACTACCACCTTATTGATTTGAAATTAACCTTTTAAAGGTTAATAAATCCACAATATATTACATCGATCAGTACTCGATATAAGGGCCAAATTATGGACCAACCGGTAAGTCTCTGGTTGTTACCTAGCAGGTACTTTCCATTCTCTAGTGCATGAAAAGTACCTGCTAGGTAACAACCAGACGTTTACCAGTCAGTCCATAATATGGCCCTAAAGGAAATAAATTTATAATAATTATAATAATGCATAATTATTAGATACTAAATGAATAATGATGAGAAAATGATAATAAAAGTTAATATTTGATAATAATTAATCAAATAACTTAATAATTATTTTAAACGTTAGTTAGCTATTCTAGCTAAAAACTACTATACGGTAAACAATTAGGTCGGTAATTGAATTTACAAAGATAATAATTAGCTAATAAAGCTAATCGATAGGGGGCGATAAAGAAAAGGTAAAAAAAAGTCACGGTAATTAGGATTTATAAAGATATTAATTAGCTGGTAAAGCTAATCGAATGGGGGTGATAAAGAAAAGGTGAAAAAAGTCACGGTAATTAAGATTTATAAAGATAATAATTAGCTAATAAAGCTTATCGATAGGAGGCGATAAAGAAAAGGTAAAAAAAGTCACGGTTATTAAGAATTTTAAAGAAATTTATTTCCTACTGAACTATTATAACCATATAATACCTTGGTTACGATAATCATAAACAGGGAGTTAAGGATTTTATAACTCCCGCGCGGGAGTTAAGGATATCATAACTTCCAAGGGAGTTAAGGATTTCCATGACTCCCGCTTTTACCTTGAATAAGTAAAACTTTGACAAAAAACAGAAATTTTGGTTTATGGTTTATTTCTTTATAAAAATGGATAAAATACAGTAAATTCAGCAGGAAATAAAATTATCTATGTACCACGGGAATTATCAGGTGTTAATACCCACGGGCAACACAAACTTTGCCCTGGGGTATTAACACCCTCATAATTCCCTTGATATATAAATAAATATAATTAGCTAATAAAGCTAATCGATAGGAGCGATAAAGAAAAGGTAAAAATAAGATACGTTAATTAAGATGGCACGTGTAAGACACCCATGGGTAAGTAATTATACAAGCCTGGACGGAATCCTTGTAAAGCCTCGGAAGTTTTTACAAATTTGAGCTCTGGAGGTACCAAACTGGCTGGAGACAACCAAATAATAATTGGAGATCAACTTCTTACAGGACACCAACATTCCTTGAAAAGGGGGCCCAGATTTACTCTGAGATACAGGACAGCATGGTCTCAAATTTGACAATTTTCACTTGGATAAGTGTAGTCACGGATTTTTCGTCTTGCCCAAAGTGCCTGAATGAATTTAGGGAATATAAGGACTCATTTATCAGAGAGAAAAAGGAATTTACATACCTGTACGGCCGATAGTAACCTCACTTTCCAAAATCTTCACAAAAATCAACAATCGGTTGATTTTCCAAGAAACTTTCTAGCAGACACGATCAATCACTCTTCTGGCTAGTCAATTTACAAAACTATGGGGCTCGATGGGCAAAAATAAAGACAAAATTTTAAGATTTTTAAGATTAAAAATTTGGACGACCGTTTCGGTCCCAAGACAAAAGAAAAAAGGGCCAACTCAAAAGTACCCAAATTGGTTCTGTCCTTTCTTTCTTGGTCTATCAAGCCTGTCGAAATTATAAAAATGACAGCGCTACAGGTTTCTCGGAAATAACCTTAACAGAATTTTCGGTATTAGGTTAGGAAAACTAGTCAGAAGAATCATAGGTGTACGAAATAGTACTTTTAAAGTTTGTTTTTTTTTTTAAAGATAATTCCCTAAGACAAAAATTTAGTAACTATGTTGGCAACACTAGCCTTTTCTACATAAAAAATTTGAAAGCATTGACAATTTTACATTGTATTGCCAACATAATGTCATTTTGACTTTTATCTTTAAAAAAAAAACAAACTTTAAATGAGTCCAAAATATATGACAATAATCGAGAACAATAAATATATTGTTGTGACATTTCAAATGTTACAAGATGTACCAAAGTTAAAGCTGAAAATGTATCAGTACAAAGAAGTGAAATGAATGATATTGTTTGAAGTAATGTTAGATCCTGGTTTTGATATTTAGAAGAAAAAAAAAACTTCTGAAATAGAACAAACTCGCCTCACATTGATTATACAACTCACTGTACATTATTGTCATTATTCCCATATGACACGAGAGGCTTAAGAAGTGATAAGCCTTTTGGAATTATCGCGCTAGGTGGCAATTTGTTATTAATAATAATAAAAATCAATAAAGCATTAAAGTTTAGTTCGTTGTATAACCTTTTGAATATCACTCGATGTTTCAGGATTACCTAATACTTTTACTGACACTCAACGCGTTACCAGCAACACCACTCCTCTTTCGGATTCGTGGTGTTGCTGCGTAACGCGTTTCGTGACAGGTAAAAGTATTATCCGGTAATCCTGAAACGCCTTGTGGTATTACATTCGATAATCCCTCCTAATTTCATCACATCCTGAAGTGATAACCTGGAAATAATTAAAATATGCATTTGTACAAATTACTTGAAATATTGGAAAGTTCGAATTAAAATAATAAATAATTGAAGAATTTGCCTCAATCAATACAACAGGTTGCTATGTGCATGGGACTGTAGGTCTCAGGAGAAAGGATGGTGAGAGGGTCTGACCTGTTTTATGTACCACTCGATAATACTGTCACAGCCTCTCTGTGACAGAGGGTGTAGGGTGGATAGATGGAGAGAAACTCGCCCAGTTTTACATAAAAAGATGTAAGTTGCTAAGAAGTCATTACGTCATGAATCCTCCAGGCTACATGCTCTTGCGTGGGAAGGGCCACACGTTTGACGCTACTTAGGAAGGAATGTCTGTTTGATGCTAATGTTACGTAGAATGTTATTCGTCATTTAACTGATCCTCATCTAGAGGGCCTTTCCCAGGGTGGCGGTACTTGCACTGGGAAGACTTGATTCCAGAGGGGTGTTCCCAGGGTGGCGGTACTAACACTAGTTCAAGTCTGTCTGTTGCTCGGCTTGACCCACTATTTATATGAATTTATTGCTGAATTGCAATAAACATGCGATCGAATCGGCAATTGAATTAATAAAGTACCGCCACCTTGGGAAAGCCCCTTTGGGAAACTGTATCGTCATCTAGTGCAAGTACCGCCACCCTGGGAAAGCCCTTCTAGATGAGGATCAGTTAAACGACGATTAACATTATTCGTAACATTAGCATTAAACCGACATTCCTTCCTAAGTAGCGTCAAACGTGTGGCCCTTCCCACGGCCTATGAAGAAAGGGCCTTCATCCTGGAGGATTTATGACGTATAAATGACTTCTTAGCAAATATATACCTTTTTTTTTATGAAACTGAACGAGTTTCTCTTCATTTATCCACCCTACACCCTCCGTCACAGACAGGCTGTGATGATTTTTTCGCAACATGTTTTTAAAATATATCAAATTGTACATACAGATAGAACGGAATATTATAATAACAACACTTATAGACATAATCTCAAGTTTTCTTCCAGATTAACGACAATAAAAGAGCTGCACACAATTTTAAATGGTATCAAGACTAATGTTATGGGAGTTGACCAAATATCCTCTCGCATGCTGAAATATAGTACCTAGTCCTTATATTGACATATACTTAATGCATATTGTTCGGTTGATGTTGAATTTCGATTTATCTTCGATAATAAGAGCCGCGGGACTGTAAACGCGTTGATTCATCTAAATTTTTGCCGAAAAATAAAAACTATGATATTTGAACACGAGCCATACAAGAACAAAATGGAGGCACTTACTTGTGTTCTTCCAACGACGTTTTCTTTTCCTGCAGGTGCACCTGGATGGTCTACCAATTCTTCGACGAACACAATCACATAAAATAGGTTTAAAATATCTTCTAAAACTATGAGGTTGATTTTCCAACGGAATTTTTAACTGAATTTCAAAGGATCGGTTTGAGGGTTCTGAAAACTCTGACAAGTTCGGATCTCTGTCTTAATCTGGTTGGTGTGCTGATTTCTGGGAAGCGCATCGAATCTTCTCGTGCCATATAAAACTTGAATTTGCATGGCGCCAAAATTTAAAATCAAGTATACGAATAAAATTAGTTTGGACATTAAGCTATGCGCGAACACATATTATAAACTGTTCCATAGAAATACATTATTTTCCTGACCTATGGAAAGTATCGATTGACCATTACCCAAAATATCCAACCCCTCAACGCATCCTACCAGCAGTATCAAAAAATTTTGGAAAAATTCTCTTTAATCAAATGTGACTACCTTTTTATCAATAGCGTTATACCTCCAGTTCAATGCGGGTTTAGAAAAAGTTCCGGAACAAGGGATGACATAGACATAATTCGAGCATGTGATAAAAAAATTACTACAATTCTTGTTCTCTTAGATTTCTCCAAGGCATTTGACACGATCAATGATACATTGCTTGTATCTAAACTAAAATATGACGGTTTCGATATGAAATCGTATCAAATTATTGAATCTTATTTATGTAATCGATACCCAACCATTTCTTATAATAATATTTACTAAGTACATGTTTTTGCACTTAACCGGGTGTTAAATAAAACTGGTGAATTTTGGCCAGTTAAATAAGATAACGGTCGGTCATTTTGACGAAATGCCTACTCATTGAGTTTTCAAATGTGAAAAGAACATTTTATTTGGTTTTTTATAAAATTTACATCGTTCTCAGTGTTAGATCCAATGACTAGATCAGATCTCTAATCCTATTCGTAATTGCTCAACAATGGAAAATGAACTATTTGATAATGATAAAGACTTGATATAGTGCAGGATGAGTTTCCTAGAAACCAGTGGAAAAAGCCTGATTATTCTGAAGATATGCTTGACTAGTGGCAACAGCAATCTTACACAATATAGTTGGAAGAATGGGAGAACTGCTGCGAAGGTGTTGATGCAGGATGCAGATATGTTAAACTATTTAATTGATCAAGGAAATATTTCACAAATGCCCGCCGAAAATAATAATCCATTTTTAATTAATTATAGGCAATAGATCATTGAAAACTTCTTCAATAACTTGGTCATCCCATAGTCTTGTCTTATTGTATCTTTTTTTTTAAGTATTCAATATTTAAATGTTTTTATTTAAATTAAATCAACCTAATTCAAACAAAAAAGTTTAACTATTTTTACCTGAAGCTTTATTTCAATAAAAACTTCAACATATAGATTTGTAACCCCTTTTGTTAATGAATTAACTATGGGTCCATAATATGCTCAGTTAGCTCAGCGAAAAAATATTAGGTGTGGGTTAATAGTTTAATCAGTACAGAATGGCGAGGGCGCCACTGAATTTTAAAAAAAATATATAAAATTGCACAAAATATGGAAGTGTGAAAATCCAGAAACACACCTAGAAAATAATTAGCAACCGATAATTGGTAATCCTGAAAAAAAATAAAATAATGCACACAACTCAACTCTCGACCTATGGGTAAACCAATAAAACAATTAAGTAAAATTTCAAATTAAAATAGTGTATATTTCACAGTCAGTAAACAATTCAGTATTGGTTTATTTCAAAATATAAGATAAACCATTATTGGTAAGACACCGTAGACTTAATCAAAATAAAAGAAGTTAACCTTTAATCGGATTATTCAAGCTCAAAAAAAAAAAAAAAATAATAATAATAATGATAATAATAGCATAACAACAAATTGTACCTCAATATACTTGCCTCATAAATTCATTAACATTATAGCTACCAATATCATCAATTTGAAAGGATCATTACTTAAGTGTGCAACATATGGGATTTTTTTTTAGCAATAGCACAAACAAGGCCAAAAGTTGGTGCATGTGTAATAATCATAATTATTAGGTGCACTTAGAATGGTTGCAAGTTAAACAGCATACAGGGTAGCTCAAAAAATATCAAAATTTTAGTAATATTTACTTGAATAAAATAAAACTTTTGCACTTTAAGGAGAGTTTTTTTAATACGGCTATTATCATTAGTAATGTTTTAACTTGTTAAAAAAAAAATTGCGACATTTTAAAGTTGTGTTGAATATCATTGCAACAAACATGAATTTTGTGATTCCATGAAAAATTAAAAATCTAAGTTAATTTTACAAATATGCTTGAATTTGAACAAAGTTATGTAAAATTCATTTGATTTTAATTAATTTTTGAAAGTATTAGGGGCGGAAATAAAAAAATTAAAAAATATAGAAATTATAGATTTTTTTTCGAAAAAAAAATAAAAAAACTCTTAGGAAGCTATGTTTTGGTACTTAGGCATAACTTTTAATTCCAAACAACTTTTCTCTATAACATTTTGCTGAATTTTCTAAAATAAGGGTACTTTACAGTAAAGCTTTGATATTGTTTGAGCTACCCTGTATGCTGTTTGACTTGCAACCATTCTAAGTGCACCTAATATGATTATCAGACATGCACCAACTTTTGGCCTTGTTTTTATTTGGGTTGTGCTAGTACTAAAAAAAATCCCCATATGTTGCACACTTAAAAAATCACACTGTATAAAAAATTATCATAGCTTTGTTAATAGACTGTAAAAGTGATTTTATGAAATAAAAATTGTAAATTAAGAGTTATTAGTGAAACTTATACAAGCCTCCATCCCAACATAAGGCAGATCCGGAAACCATCCATTCTGAACGAAAGGGGCCACCCATGGAACTAGTGGATTCCAGCCCAGAATCCAGGCAGAAAAGGGACTATAATCATCGTCAAAGGTGGGGCACACGTATCGACCTGTGGGGTCTTGATTCTAGTAGGGTAGGAAGCCCTTCAAAGGTTCAACGTCAAATTCCACGGAAATGGTGTTGATTTGAAAATGTGGCCTTTTTTGGAATGGATTTGTTGGGGAAATCAGCCGTTTGAAAGACCATAAGTAATAATGCATTCCTTGAAAAGTTATTACTTATAAAACTTGAAAGAACTTACCACGTTTTTGGGTGGGAATTTAAACTTAAATCAAACCGCAATCACGCATCACTTTTTGATTCGAATTTTTCTTAAATCGACAGATTACTGCCACACGCAACTTTAATTCGTTAAACAAGGTAACGCCCAAAGGCCGGTAAGATATTTTTTTTTCGATTAGCCAATCAACCTTTCAGTTCAACGAGACAATTCAAAAGGGACCAGAATCGATTTCCTACGGGCCAGGTAAGTACGGATACAGCATTCCTCTCCAGATAGCTACGGAAATTGTTGGTACTAACCAATATGTCAAATTTAAAAGAAAATTGCGCCCTCTAGTTTAATAATTTAATAATTGTTATATAATAAATAGCGGGAATCCTGTACTCTTTAAATGGCAGTCACCAGACAGTAACTTTAAACGTTACAAATTGCGCAATTTTCTGCGGTCGCAAGTTACAGAATAAGACTGCCGTTATGAATGAGTCTATCTCAAAGGTGCTCAGGTTTGACAATAATTGAAAGAGAAAGTTCTGTGATTCTGGCGCCTATAAAATTTTCAAACGTTCACCAGTCGTTTTTAATTTTTGACAATGTCATTTCAAAATTTTCAAGTGGAAACGCTCCAATTTCTGGACAAAAACCAATCGAAAATTTCTAGTTCAAATCCAAAAATGACCCAAGACGTGCAACCCGGAATGGAAGCAACATCTTCTAAAGCAATGAATATTGCGGATAAAATAAGTAGGTGTTCTATCTCATAATCATTATAAGCTACCTACGTAAATTTGAAATATCTAAAAGATTTTTTAGTTTCAGGCTCTAACAAACCAAATGAAAAAAGAGAATCTTGTTCAAGGAATCTTTGTGGCGGTAGAAAAAGGAAGTTGCCCAAAAGTGCCTCCCAGGAGCCACCCAACAACAAACGAAGACGAATATGTAATTGTACAAGAAACATACATTCAAGAAAATGTATGACGAAGAAAAAAGAATCCAGTAAACCTTTCGACTATTTAGCACAGTTTGGAAAGAATTTCTGCTGTGCTTCCCTGAAAAACCGCACCGGCTTAAGGCCCATATACATCGACGGTACCAATGTCGCCTTCAGCCATGGCCAAAACGAACGGTTTTCAGTCAAAGGCCTAAAAATTTGTATAGATTATTTCTTAAAAAGAGGCCATGACGTCAGAGCCTTTATTCCTAACTTTCGCTTGAGAAGAAACCAAAGCAGCGACCAAAAACTACTTCACAGATTGGTAAAGCAAAGACACGTCATCGTTACTCCAACGTTGTACATCAAAAACAAACAAAGAAGTCCTTACGATAATTGGTACATTGTACAATCGGCTGCGGCCAACGGAGGCATTATCGTGTCCTCGGATAATTTCCAGGACATTAAGGAATGGAATCCAAATTTGAGAGAGGTGGCAGAAGAACGCAGACTGGTACCTACTTTCGTGGATGACATGCTGATTTTTCCGATGGATCCTCAGGGGAATAGGCGGAATAATTTGGAACAATTTTTGAAGTTCTAAATTTTTCTTTTTACCATTAGACTGTGGAGTTTTATATTATTTGTGATTTTCATTAATTACGCAATACTTTTTTTCGAATGACTCATTCAAAGGTGAATGTACATTTTTAGGCGAGCAAACATGAAATTGTATAACTAAGAGAAACTTTATATATTATACTTCCACTCTTTGTAGTTTTACAAATAAAATTTATAATAAAATATCAAATACCTACATGTTTCAACTTTAACTTTTTCAAATTTTACTCTTGGAGCGGCGTGATACAAATAGACCTATCTATTTTACCAGACAAAGAGGTAATAATACGAAAACTTCATTAAATAAAAAAAGACACAGAACGTTCATTGCGCAAGACGAGGCAAAATGTACCAAATTATGTTAGACTTACGTATAGAAATCCGTCCTTCTTATTTGCACGGGATAAAAAGGGAAGAAGAAAAACCGCGTGTTGTGTAACGTCCTTGTCAATGAAAATGTCAAACAACTTTTGAATGACATTTGCCAAGTTGAATATCAACTTTAGATTTATTCTTGTCAGACCACGTGCAATGAACAAGGACAAAGAGATGTCCAGCGTGCAAAACGATTACCTCACACCTGTATTGGCTAGCCAATAAAAAGAAATTGCCTCGTGTTGCGCGCGCATAACAGGTAAAAATAGATAGGTCTATTGATAGGTAATAATTATTCATGCACCAAGTGAGTTAAATGAATGTTTATTCATGAGAAGAAAGTTTAACACACGCGAGTGGGTTAATTTCCTTCGAATGAATAGAGATTTTAACTCAGGTGATGTAAGTATACAAAATTTTATCACATTTTGTGGAAATTTGAAAAATAAAGTAGGTACAAGGAAAAATGACGAGAGTGAGTTAAAAATATTTAAAATTACTGAGGTGTCAGATTTTTAGTTGGGCAAAGAAACTTAAAATGCTAAGAGTGAGTAAATTTTTTTTTTATTACGCATGCATCATAATCAACGATTATCGCACGCTGCAGCGTGCATAAAATGATGTTTATGTCTACCATTTCAAAGGTTTGCTAGAGAAACTTTCGATCTATCTTCATTACCTAGATATTTACCTGCATACCTGCCATTTAAATTACTACTTATCAATATGAATGAACACTTTTAAAACATTTTTGAGATTATGATGCATTCGTAATAAAAAATAGCGTATGATATGCGTGTATAAGAGGGCATTTAAAGCCCTATGTCGCGCGTGCTTTAAATGCCCTCTTATACACTTATATCATAATATACTAATTATGTACGACCCAGATTTTTTTTATATATTCGACATGGTTTTAATTTTCCACAAAAGATTATATTTATAATTTTTGATAAATGAATTTTAAAAAGTGCCGTTTTTCAATAAAAATGAGTTACGTAATGAGCTCATTTCATCACTAAGCACGATAATACAACCCGTTACGTAACTCAAACAGGCGAAAATGAGTTACGTAATAAGCTCTTACAGTGTAGGTCGTACATAAAATGTTGTATATCACACGCACGGTAACGCTCATTACACCACTGGTGTGATTACCACGACTCGGTCTATGACCTCGTCTTGGCAATATTCCCCACTCGTTACTGTAATGAAGCTCATACCGTACTAGTATTATAAATAACTATTATCCAACACCTGCTAGTTATAAGAGTCATTATTTATGCCAATTTAGGCAGGTAAACTATCAAATAACAGACTAGTGTATTATAAACCATAACCCACTATTGGGTTATGGTTTATAACTCACTCTCTCATAACGTCAACACAAAACGTCAGGAAATAAAAAAAATACAAATCCTGCTTCAAAAAAGACTCATTCTCAAAAAATGCCTGTTAGTTTTTTCAGTTCTTGTATGCGTCTCGTGTGCTATGATTTTTTTATTATTATTCTCAACATAACACACTAGTTCCATAAATAACTATTATCCAACACCTGCTAATTATAAGAGTCATTATTTGTGCCAATTTAAACAAGTAAACTATCAAATAACACACTAGTGTATTATCACGTCAACGCAAAACGTCAGGAAATAAAATTTGTTGCTCGTGTGTTATGATTTCTCAGTTATTGGATAAAATATTGTATGCTACTCGTGTGTTATATTTTATAAGTCACTTGAGAAATTATACCACTCGGCCTGACGGCCTCGTGGTATAAATTTTTCCAGCGTGACTTATTTTCAACATTACACACTAGTACCATAAATAACTATTAAATCACAGGTGATAAACGTGTACTTACCTTTATTGTTATGCGTTCAATAACGTCAAAATGGGATTAATTATTATTATCTCTATTATAAGTTCATTCCTCGCAACTGAATCTATGTTTTTTGTTTTTTTAATAAACTAAAGTTCATAAGTTAATTGGGTACATTGCCATGGCAGATTTTTATATAAATAAGTTTTAAGCCATAATAATAGAATAATCCAGTCTTAAAGGATCAACAACAAAATTTAATATAGGCACTTTAAATCATTACAGTAAATAAGGACATTAAAACAACATTACAAGCAACTTATAATATTATATTTCCAATAATAGATTTATGGAAAGATAATAATCAAAAACATAAACACGTTTTTTGAAAAAAAAGTGTCTCGGATAAAAGTTTTATGGTTAAAAATGAAGTTTTTGAAAATCTTTTTTCACATTTTATACAAAGAGTTTCCAAAAGTCTGGCTGTCGTCGAACGTCCAACTTTCTTATTTCAAATTTATGCAGTATTTTTTTATTTGATTTTCAGATTGTGCTTTAAATTCTAAACATTTTCTATGCAGCATATCCTATCCTATACCTTAATTTAATGAATATAATAGAAGTTATCTGTGATTTTGACGTGAACATTAAACGAGAAATTTATGAACTACATACATAGTGTGTCCAAGATAAGGATGGGATAGAATTAGGATCTGGAGTTACAATGTTGGTTAGATTAGGATTAGTGCAATTTAACGCTCGATAAAATGGTACCTATAGTCTGGCTAGCGAAATGGCGAACTGCAATAGAGTTTGCTACTTTGCCAAACTTGACGGAAACCATAGAAGGAAACAATAATAAACAAGTTGGTGACATATTTTTTTTTGCAATATGGGCATATGTAGTATTTTGAAATAGAAAAAAATCCGACAGCATTGCGAAATGATGGCTGTGGAGAGGCGTGATTATTCAGAGGCATAATTCTATTGGTTAGAGCCTGAACGACAGCGCAGTGGCGTGGTTGTTGGCGAAAATAAAGAATTTTTTCTCTAACAATTTTATTGGTTGATTTCCTTGGTGTTTTCGGTGCCACTGAACCCAAAGACATGGCTGTCATCAGGCGGTGTCAGTTGAGGTGTCGGTGAATATTCTTAGGTTACGCCCCACTTTTCTTCTCCCTTTCGTCTCTATCAAGTTACCACTTGCCAGACGTTACCTACTCCTCCTACTCCGAGATATCCGGAAAAAACCGCTATAGAAAGGCAAAAAATAATAATTATGGGAAATGGTGAACATTGTGAAGCATTTATTTCAATATTTTTTTTCCTACGACCACATACGAAAATCACAAAATTCGCACTAGTTGGTGCTTTGGAAAGCACCAAATATCACACGCGTGCCGAAAGTACTTTCAATACGCGTGCTAAAAGTACTTTCAGCACACGTGTGGAAAATGCTATTGACATTATTTGTGATTGACATTGACAATTTACTTTCAATACGTGGGTTGAAAGTCCTTTCAGCACGTGTGTTGAAAATGAAAAGAAATAAATCAAGAGAAAATTGGTGTAAATCGGTTTCTGATCCTTGGAACAATAGTGTGAGAAAGCGTATTTTATACACTCGTGTGATTTTCGCACTCGGCTACCGCCTCGCGCGAAAAAACACTCATGTGAAATTTGTCACTTTCTACACTCGTAATGTAATATACTAGATATTTAAAAATGTTTAGATTTGTTGGTGAAGTTGAAATTATTTTTCCCCGAATGGCATAGTCTACAAGCTATGCTATTCTGTACTTCCTATTTTTGAAAGAATCTAATTGAAGTTAAACTTCCAACAAATAGCGGTTCTAATCGTCTGAGGCAAGAACTTCCGCAAATCCCAGTAAGAAGAAAAACCTCTTGGTTTATATACTTTTACTTAACAAACAGAAGATCTATTTTAGATGCGATAATTGTATTTATGAGGAGGAATATTCTATACTCGTTATTGTGGTGGCTCTTGATGATCCTTTAGGAGGGATACCACGATTTATAGCAAAAATAATAAATTTCAAGTGAGTTCCTTTTCCCCCTGAAATTACATATAATACTTGTAGAGAAGATCCTATTGTTATGGAAATATACTTCTTGTTTTTTTTTTTGCTGCTCTTCAGTTCTTTTACTTCACTTCACATTTTTCGACATCATTAGTGTTTTCGAGAATACGTTGTGATATATGAAAAAAGTATCGATTTTCAAGACAAATGCACACTCACCACCTGTTTTTATCACCAGTTTCAGCTTTATACTAATTTGAAAAAAGAGGAATGCACATTTTTGGGGTCCTTTTGTAGGTATCAAAGCCCACGTCAAAATCGGATTAGTATTTTTCGAGATATTCAAGAAAATCTACGTAGGGATATTTTCTCGGATATTTCCTATGCATAGCATAGAATAGAATAGAATAGAATTTTTATTTCCAAAATGTACAACATAGTATACAAAAAAAAAGCTTGCAAAAGCTAAATTTAAATCTAATTTTTATCATACAATAAAAATTATTAAATTGAGTTTGGCTTTACATAAAGTAAGCAACAAGTTTACAGTAGGTACAGAGAAATGTAAAATACAAGTCAAATTGACAACACACAAACACTTTAAAAAAAAATCTAACAATAAGGAAATATACAGTAGGTAGTCAGTAATAAATATAAACTGTTTGAGAAAAGTTTTTGGATTAATTTTCTCCGCTTTTCCATCCATAGACGCGTTTCGACCTATATCAGGTCTCATCAGTATGACTAGGAAAAGCGAAGAAAACCAATCCAATTTTTCGCCTAAAGGCAAATGCAAGAAATTCGAAGAGCGAATCTTGATCTTAACGCCATCTAGGACACGATAATCAACACTACACGCAATTTTGCTGTGCAAAATGGTGAACGTTCCAAAGGCAGACCAAAATTCAGTTCGTTTGGGTTTCACCCAAAAGTACCACTGTTTGAGAAAAGTTTT